TCCTACCTCATGAATACTGGATGATAGATCATGCTCCATCCATCTTTTACACACCACAACGTCATTGTTGGCCGCTATTTCAAGCAAGCTAGCAGAAGTATCTTCCGTTTCAACAGTCAAATGATTCATGTTCATGGTGGTGATCATACTAATACTTTTCTGACGCTACAGTTTGATAAAATCTGGTTTTTAACAACTGCAATGGATAGCACATCCTTTCATCTTGGATCTACTGAAAGAAATAGAATCAAAACATAATGTATCAAGCACAATCTCGAATAATCAAAAGAGAGACAAAAGCCAGTCATTTTTAAATGCAATTCCATAGGCCAAGAATCTAAGTGTTATATAAATTTGAGCATAGATGCTATCTATTGTCAAGGCAAAAACACAAATCACAGAGTTATAACCAAAAAAAAAAACATAAACAAGAATAGATTTCCCATCAATTGTGAAGAAGACTTTTGCTACTAAAGGGTTCACACTATCAAGAAAAAATAAATACTACTCCACTATTCTTTACCAAAATGGAAAAATAGAAAAATGAAGGATTAAAACCTATTGCATAAGCCACATGCTATTTTTCTATATAGCAAATTCATTTCTCAAAAAAAAAAAAAAAAAAAGAAGCAGAAATCTATTCATTCAAATGCTTAAAACAAAACAACTCCTTTTTAAAAGGCAGCAACAAACAAGGAATTCTTCAGGAAGAAGCAAAGAAATAAAACCAAAAAGAAAAACAGAAACTTTATCCAATTAGACCAAAATTCATAACAAAACTCAATCTGCAAATAAAAGACATGAAAATGCTCACCAGCAGCTCCTTCCTTCTCTTTCGAGTGTTGAAAATGGTGAAAAAACTTGTTTTTTTTTTTACAGATCTAGAGAGAGAAAGGAGGAAGGATGTAAAGCAGGAGAAAGTACAGAGTGATAAGCCAAGAAGAGAGAACTTCTTCATTTTCTCTTCGCCATTTCCTATGCTCTCTATTTCTCTCTCTTTCTCTTCTCTGCTCTTCAACTCTTTATTACTCTCATTATTTATATTATTTTAATTTCTTTGTCCTCTTTTACTTATCACACCTAGTTTTAAAAACATAATTAAATTTTGATATTTGAAATTAAATTATAGTCAAAATATGAATATGTATTTTCCTTTTTAGTTGTCATAATAATGTTTGGCACAATATTTAAGAAAAAATAATAAATAGTCTGTTTGACCAATATATTTCTTATTAATTCTTATTTTTTTTGTTTATGCGACTTCTAATTCTAGAATAATTAATATTAAGGAATATATTGGTCAAATACACTATTTATCATTTTTCTCTTAAATATTCTAGAATAATTAATATTAAGGGCAAAGTTGGAAAGATAATTTTTTTCTCTTGATTGTTTAAATTGACAACTATTTTGAAATAATTATTTTTAATATACATGACAATTAAAGAGAAATTGAACGAATAATTTTATCATCTTAAATAGATAATATGAAAAAATTTAAAAATATAGAACAAATAATATTTTTAATTTTTTTTTATTACAACCACAGTAATAATAGTAGTATGAAATCCGATTAGTAACCCTCCCTCCTTTTTTTCTCCTTTAAAATTATTTGGTTGAATTTAAAGGCCTAGTAGCCAATAGAATTATCTTATGGTAAACACATTGGGCAATCAATGTTCTTTACTGAATAATTCTAAAAGGGCTTTGGGTCAAATTTGTCATGTTATGAGCTTTCTTTTTAACATATAGTAAAATGTCATTAAATTAATATATATGAAATTATAATTTTTTTTTTCTTTTAGAGATGTTATTTAATTGATAAATTAATATTTATTAATTGAAAGACTGTTTTAAGATTTTAATGAAGGTTAATTTTGATTACAGCAAATTCATTGCATCTTATTAATTTATTGTATCATATTTATATAATTTCCATAAAAATAAATATATTATACATGAAGTACAATGAATATATCAAAATCATTGCATCTTACTAAATTACGTATCATATTTATTGAATTCACAAAAACAAATAAATTCATTATACATAAAGTACAATCTATGAGTATAATTCATTGTAAATATAAATCCATTATACATAATGTTCATTGTTTCTTAATAATCAATTATTATTCAACGTATCTTTACTAAAAACATTTTATGTATGATTGTGAGACAATAAACTATATAAGCAACATAAGAAATTTCTTGAAACCATATTAAAAAATGACTTCTTATTTAAAAGGTGTCACAAAATCAACAATGACAAATCAAATACGTAAACCATTATGTGAGTATAAAATAAAACATTCCACATGTACTAAAAAAGATTTACAATCGTGGCAACATCGAATTTTTTGGATGCAATAGAAAAAAGTTAGAGATAAACTTCAACTAGGTTTAAATTTTAATAAAATAAATAATAGAATCATATTTCAAAATTGTCTTAGATATATGTACTTTTAAAAAAAAAATTAATTTACAATATTAATGAGACCATATATCTATATAGGATCTTCAAAAAATATATTATCTTATTATCTCATAGAAATATCTGATTTTTTCATTCATCTAAATCGTGATCAGATAAAAATATTATCTTAGAGAAATTATTAATTTATCAAGTATTAACTTAGTGAGATTTTACTATATTGTGCAATCAGTGTTTTTTTCAACAACAATTTGTTTTTCTTCTTAATTTGATGTGTCGATTTCATATTTGTTTCTTTGGTAAGAAGCCACGTAATTTTTTTTAATTAGAAAAGAGTATGTTTTCATTTTAGAGGATGTAAGAGAGTACCAAGTGTTATGGGAATAAGAATATCAATTTTATTTTGTTACCACTTAAAGATAGTTAGATTTATTTTGGAAATTTTTACAAATAGTCATTATAATAAATTTAATTATGTTTTATATCTATAGTTTGCATATTTACGATTGTAGCTCTAGTTTAAGCTGTCTCATTTATATGATTCACGGATTTGTATAAATCGCGGATTTGTATAATTCGTGGGTGAGTTTGTATAATCCGCGAGTATGTTTGCATAGTTGAGCTATTTTTGTATAAACTTGAAATAACAAATTTACACAAAAACATACATCTGAACTTTAAACAGATATACAAATTATATTATACAAAAGTTATACAAATTCTGAATTATACAAACGTGCGAATTATACAAACTCGAAACCCCAACCCACATAATTATTACTGAATATTGAACGCGAGTGGTAATTAAATAAAACTATAGCTATGATGACTAATTAACTAGTATATGTTTGCTAAACCACGTCAATTTTCTTTTTCTTTCCAAACTGAATATAACTAAAAGGCTAAATTTTTACTGTTGTTTTGAATTTATAAACGTTATTTTGAGATTGATTCCAATTTCTTTAAAAAGAAAAGAGAAGCAAAATTAGAGGAAGAGAAGAAAATCAAACACAAAGAAATGTTATCGAAAATCTTGTATATATTCCGACAAAATTATGAAATTTTTAGTTCCACATCTACAACTTCAAATTCAATATCTTAAGAATTACACATAAATTCGTACAATATTTAGAAAATCATAATTGTATCTTTTTGTAAGGTATTACTTCCTCAATTTCAAAATAATTTTCATGTTTCGCTTCATGAGCGTCAATTTAACTAATTTTTAAAGGTTAAATTAGATTAAATTTATTTAATATTTAAAAATAAAATTTAGACATTTTAAAAAGTATACAAAAATACACTATAATTACATTTTTTTTTTCTCATTTCAAGATGTTGAAAAAATACATCTATTGATCGAGATTCACACTATTTAACTATTAAAAAGAAAATTGTAACAAATATTTTGAAAAAAAGAGAGTATGTGATTGTAATCATCTTGATTCATAGACTTGAAAATTATTAAATTAATTATTTTACCATCCGATTTATTTACTTGTTATTCTTACTAAAAATAAATGATCTAAAATACTTTTTTTTCTTGAGTTTATTTATTTCAATAAGAATAAATTACATTTCATATTTGTGCACAGCTAAAAAGAAAGCAATTTTTACCATAGAAATTATTACTCCATATGTTTAGCAATATCATTTTGCAAATTCTTATTTTTATCACTTCTCTCTCTCTCTCTCCCTCCTAAACATTTATGGTGCTTGTTGAGTTCACACCTCCACTATCCCATTAATTCTTTATCATAGTGTATAATTGAGAAATAGGCAACTCACATTAATTTCTTTTGTTTGAAGTACTCACCATTTATAGAAAACAATAAATATTGGCGTAAAGAAGTACGTAGTAAACTTCTTTTTTAATCAACTATCGTAGCAACTTTATTTGGCCATACATTATAAAGTTGAAATTAAATGTTAAAAATTAAAAATTAAATGTTAAAAATTAAAAAAATTAAGTTTTTAAAATTTAAAATTGAGTTTGAATGTGTTTTACTTGGAGAAAAAGTTTTGTAAGTGAAAGTCTAAAAAATATTTGAAGGAACAAAATTTTAAAATCTAATCAAATTTCATAGTCAAATAAATATTTAAAGATAAATTTTCAAAATCTATGCTGTAAGTCTACAATCAAGCGCTAGCTTAGCTTTTCGCAAAAAGAAAATAGATTCTCTTAAATCGTTTTTTCTATGGTGTCCAAACTCAAAACTTCAAATTCAAGCCAGTTTCAGAGCCATGATTTAATATTTATGGGTTTTAAATTAATAAACGGGATAATGGTCTCTAGCTAATGTAACAATTGTCAAATAAATGAATAAATATTAGTAATATATTTTTTTTTAAAGTGACGAACTACTTACACGAACTACTTACACTATATAAATATAAGCACTATATTTACAAAAAAATAAATTATAATCTTTTTATTTTTTGAACAAATTTTTGGACCAGTGATTCTTTTATTAATCAATCATCAGCCAAATACATAAAGGTCTCATGGAAACCCCCTTTCAGCCCAAGTGCTAAAAACAGCCCAATAAAAGAAGGAAGTTTAAATATATGACATAGTTCTTTCCAATTACTAAAAACAGGATTTCCTACGGTACTCTCTCTTCTTCTTGCTTTCCAAAAAACCACCGTTTCCATGTTTCCATCTCCTTTCTTAGATTCTTTGGTCTTTCTCCAACTATGATTGATCGATCTCCCACCTTGGTATGACTGAGTTTTACCAGCTCACAAAGGTACACCTCTTTTTCTTCTTACGTCTACCTCCTGCTTTGTTTCTAACCTTTCATTTTGTGTAGATGTGAATCCAGTGGAGGTGTTTTTAGTTCTTGGTGAACTTTTGTTGGGATTGAACCAATGTACTCCTTCCGGGAGCTCGAGGATCACTCCCCTGAGGCGAGTTGCTGAATCAGTTCGGAGACCCCCTTTTACTGGTCCTTTTCTGTAAGCTGGAACAGTTTAAACTAGGAGGCTTTGTCCCAATTAGGTAGCTTTCATGTAATCCAACCTGTAATACATAAATATGACAACTATGTTTTTCTGATTTTTGCATCATCGTTATCAGCATGTTTGCACTATCCTTCTGGTCTTGATTCGCAATGCTGGTATTTGCTGCTTGTCTATATTGATGATTTTCCTGCCTCTGCTAGATAGATCATAAAAGTTATGTGCATGTATTGTCCCTGCTTGCTCAATCTCTAGATTAGCTAGATAGTCTGCCAAGGAATTAGCCTCTCTGAATATATGTTTGATATTGACTTGTTTCCTTGTTATGATCTTTTGTATCTCTTTTATCTTTTTTGCATACTCTCACGGGATTTTCCACTGCCTAGTTAATATGTTCTTAATCGTTAAGGAGCCTGTTTCTAGGATAATCTTCTCAAAGCTTTTCCTCTTACAATATTGCATCGCCCTTCACACTCCCATAACTTTAGCATCTATATTTGTGGCTAGCCCAATATGTTGGGCTTCTGCATACAGTAACTCACCTCTACTGTCCCTTATACTGAATCCATATGAGCTCTGTCTCAGGTTACCTCTGCAGGCCCCATCGGTATTACATTTGACCCATTCTCCGGCTGGAGGCTCCTAATGCACCCTTAAATAATATAAGGTTGACTTATATGTTCTTAATGCTTGTATGATCTCCTGCCACTCCAACTTAGTTCTCCTTATCCATGGGTACTTCTCCTTTAGCAACAATTGTATTGTCAGTAGACACTGCCCCACCATTTTATTGTATGTCACTTCTTTGCCATGTCGTCTATTGTTTCTTCTCTTCCATAGTTCCCACATGATGATTGCTGGAATTGCCTTGTAAATTTGCCTCAACTTATGTTGGCCTGGCCACTCCCACCAGGTTGTAATTAGTTGTTGCAAATGTAATCCTTCAATGCTAATACCTGCACAAGTAGCAAAGTGCTTCCATAGCCGTTGGGCTACCGGAGCAGTTAGAAAAAGGTGTTGTATAGTTTCCTCTCCTCCTTCATCACAACAATAGCAATTTGACACCATGTTCACTCTCATTGTCTTAAGAATATCATCTGTGGGTATTCGTTTTCTCCAGACCCTCCACAGGAAGAATGCAATTTTAAACGGGAGCCCTTTAACCCATATGTTATCTCTCCATTCCATTTCTTCCTTTTTTCCCCTTATTAGTTGAAAAGTTGATTTAACATTAAATTCTCCTTGCAAATTTCCCATCCACCACGGCTTGTCCTTCTCATCCTCATTCAATATAGGACTAATGTTATCCACAATATGATTCACCATTCCAGTGAAATGAGTTGTTGTAATCTTTGAGTGTTCCACTGTCCATTAAGTATCATCTCCTTGACCTCTACTTCCTCCTCTACTCCTTGTTCTTCTATATAAAATAGAGCTTCCTGCTTGGTCCAATTATCCATCCAGAAGCTGCCACTACCTTCTTTCTATTGCCACCATATCTCGTGCTCAACCTCCTCCTTGACTTTCATCATTTTTTTCCAAATTTGTGACGCCCCCTATTATGTGCCATGATTGGATGATGTTTTTTACAATATTTATTGCACATAAAAGAACTCCAAAGAGATGTTGAAGTTCTAACGATCCACCAAAGCTTAGCAAACATCGTATTGGAAACATCATGCAATGATCTTAATCCTAATCCTCCCTCCCTTTTAGGATAGCACATATCCAACCAATTCATCTAGTGTTTGCCTTTGACTCCCGCCTGATTACCCCAAAAGAACTTAAAAACTATTTGATGAATTTGATCAATTACACCTTTAGGGGAATTCATAGTTGATAGCATGTATATATGCATAGACTGTAACATATGATTTATCAATATAAATTCCCCCCCAAACGTAAGGAATCTATTCTGCCAAGAATAAATTCGTGCAACAATCTTTTTTTTTTTTTTTTTTTTGATTTGTCACCGGGTGTCCGAGTCTCTTTGAGCCCCGACTAATCCCGGGGGTGCACAGGCCCTCGGCAAGGAGTTTCCCGCAAGTGCACCACGGTTAATTCAGGTTTTACCCAGTCCGATGGCCCTCAGAAATTGTTTGCACCCAGTGGGTTTTCGAACTTGAGACCTTGAAAGGGAGCAAACCCCAAGGCTCAAGTCAATTGCCAGCAGGCCAACCCCTGAGGGTTGCAACAATCTTTTTAATGAGCCCTTTATAGTATCTTCTGTGTTTCCTTCCATAGTATACTAGACACCTTAGGTACATGAAAGGGAAATTTCCAGGTTTAAGTCCTGTTAGTTTTCTCAATCTTATTGTCATAATCAACAGTGTCTTTTCATGTAGATAGAAAAAACTTTTATCTTTATTGACCTTTTGACCTGATACCAACTCATATCCTCTCAAAACATTCATCATTTGGATAACTGAGTCTCTGTCCCCTGACCCAAACAAAATGGTATCGTCTGCATAAGCTAGATGGTTAATTTTGGGACTCCATTTTGGCATCCCAAAACCTTTAAAGTTATCTAGATCATGTAGATGATTCAAATTCCTGGACAACACTTCCGCAGCTATAATGAACAAGGTGGGGGAGAGGGGGTCTCCTTGTTTTAAACCACGAGTAGACCGAAAGAAGCCATGTGTTTGGCCATTGATCAAAACAGAGTACCAGTTGGCTGAAATCAGTCTCCAAATCATATCTATCATCACTTCCGAAAATCCAAACTTCCTCAACACTTTGGTTAAGAAAATCCACCCTACTCTGTCATACGTATTTGCCATGTCCAATTTTACCACCACATTGACCTCTTTGTTTCTTATATGGATATCCCTTATTATTTCCTGAGCCAATAGTACATTTTCTGTGATGCTCCCGCCCTTCACGAAACCGGATTGATTGGGGGAGATAATACTCGGAAGGATCCCTACAATCCTCTCATGAATCATTCTTGAGATTACCTTATTTGTGAAGTTACTCAGACTTATGGGTCTCATATCTTTAAATTCTTGCACATTCTCCTTCTTTGGGATTAGAATTAAGTTGGTATGAGTTATATATCTGGGCAACTCCTGCCCACAAAAGAAAGCTCTTACTAACCTTGTTAAATCCTCTCCGACGATGTCCCAACAGTTTTGAAAGAACATCCCTGAAAAGCCGTTTGGTCCATTAGCACTATCCCCATTCAACATAAGGACCACCCCTTTCACTTCGTCTAGACTCAAAAGTTTAAGCATCTTGTCATTCTACTCATCATTAATAAGCTTGGGAATCTATTGAAGCATACCAAAATCCATGTTTCTTTCCTCTTCTGAAAATTGATCCCTAAAGTATTCTATAGCCGCCTCTCCCATTTGTTGATTAGTTGAAACTTCTTTCCCTCTAACATCCTTGATCTGGGTCAGATGAAGTTTTTTCCTTCTCCCTCTAACATATGAGTGAAAGAATTTAGTATTTCTATCCCCATCACTAAACCATCACATGCCGGCTTTTTGCTTCCAGTATTCCTCTTCGATATTTAAATATTTCCTCAATTCAGACTCTACCTTGCTTAATTCACTTCTGTTTGAGGAAGATGGTTGGTTCTCTAACTGCATTTCTTTCACTCTAATCATGTCCTCCAATGTAGCAATTTGTTTAAAGATATCTCCAAACGTAGCTTTACTCCATCATTCTAAGGCCTTCTTGGTATTTTTCAATTTATCTTGAAATACTGCAAACCGGCTCCCTTCAATTGATGAACTCCAGTGTAGTGTGACCACCTCTTTAAAATCCTTATATTTAATCCAGAAATTAAAAAATCTAAACGATTTGATGTGTGGCTCATCTGCAGTGTTACACGTCATGTGTAATGGGGCATGATCTGACCCCTGTCGCACCAGATGATGAATTTCACTTGAAAGGTATTTGAAGATGCATTCCTCTTCAATTCTTCCATTCCACTATGTGTAGTTACTTCCATGTAATTTTAGTTCTGACACCGCGTAATTGCTAATACATTGGGCAAAGTCTATTACCTCCGATTGTGTAAAGGCTAACCCACCCCATTTTTCTTCCTCCTTAAGTATTACGTTGAAATCTCCTCCTATAATCCATGGCCCGTCAATCTCTTCCGCCAGGTTCTGCAAATCATCCCATAAATCCCCTATCTCCAAAGTAGTACACTTTGCATAAACAGCTGTAACCATAACCCATGTGTTGTATCTAGACAACTTAATCGTAAGTTGTTGAGAGGAATACAAAATAAGTTGACCATCATAGTCTTCATCCAAAAAAATCCAGATTTTACCCGCACTGTTTGCCAAGGCTTTTTTATGGCCTAACTGTCTTCTATATTGTTCCAATTCCACTTGGATCCCTAAAGGGTTCCATTATTGCTATGTATTTGTAATGATGTCTCTGTTTGAGAGCAATTAATTGCTCAAAAGACTTCTGAGTGTTGACTGATCTTATGTTCCAGAATATTAGCTTTTCTATCATTGATCAATGGCTAATATGCTTTCCTTATTGCTCATTGTTCTGACTTGCAGCGGTATAATGGATTTTCCTTTTTTGATGCCCTTCTTCAAACTGTCCACATGTCTTGGCGATAAATCCCCTACTATGTTGATGTAATTTATGTTCTCATTCAGCCCCTCATCCTCATCTACTTCCTGCGAGTGTTCATTCCGAAAATTAGCTAATTCTATCCTGCCTGGGGTATGTTGTATGTGGGTCCCTACCACCACCATCGGCATATCTGAAGTGTCCCGAGTTCCTTGCCCACTGTCACCTTGGTGATGTGTTTGTTCCTTCGTTGGCCCATCCGTGATCCGTACCTCTTGAGATTCTGTATCTATTTCTACCCCAACCTCCATTATTGTATTCCTCTCATTCCCCTCCTTGTGATTTCCCCGATTCTGATTGTCCTCCTTTGCTAGCTTTTTGGACGTTTCATAAAAAGTCTCATTCACCCATTGTTTTGTGATTCCAACCTGTTCCACTATGTTCTCCTGTTGTTCCGTATCCATGTAGTCTTCATCCTTCTCCTGAAATGCATCATATTTGTTTGTGGTTGTGACCCCCACTTTGTTCCAGACCTGATTTGTCTTCTTCTTCATACGACCCCTTTTTTCTTGCCATTTCTCGTGGAATTTGTCGTTATAGCCTTCCAC